AGCCGCACTTCACTTTGACAGGAACCTCTGGCTTGAATCCAAAATAATGCTGTTTATTTGAGACAAGAGCGGCCACGGATTCATCTTCACTCCATGTTGACCTTTTCCACTTTGACTTCCTCCAAACCCCAAGCAACACGTGTGGTGCCTGCGGTGTGAATGTGGCGACGTGTTTCACTCCGGAGTCATTCGCCTTGCGTTTTCTGACTTAAAATGACATTACAGATGAGAGCGGTTAAGATTAAGACATGCTTTATTTGTCCGGCTGCGGGGAAATTTCATTGTTGCGTCACTAGTTAGAGAACAGTAGGAATGAGGAGCACACAGCAGAAGATAAATGAACAATAACTCACAAAATATAGAATAAAATCTCTAACTTTAGCATTGAGAATGTTTATTTTTATGTATAACTTATGTATTATTTTTATTTTTTATCATTTATTTTGTATAAATATTTTTTGTATTTATTTCAGGCCAACACAGGAGAATTACAGTTGCTATTATCATCAAAAAACATAACTATGACAAAATCAAAAAACGATTTTGCCTGAAAGGGAGTTGGAAGAAGATAACTTATTTAATCCCACCCCATAAAAAAGTGTTAAGAAGTATAAAATGTCTTGCTTTAGCATAACAAGGAAGCAATCTAAAATCTGCAACTTTAGCAGATTTTTTTCTTTCATGATTTTTTATGATTTTAATTTATTTTATTGTCTTAAATCTTTTAACTCTATTCTATGTTTTTGTATGTAAAGTATATATCTATATCTATCTATCTTTCTAGCCTAATGAAGAAGCAAGAATTAAGTATGAAATCTATGACTTTAAAATAATAAAGAAGTATAAAATCTCCTCCAAAGTCAAAAATACTGTATATTCTAATGCAAAATATATATAGTTGTATGTCTACATCTATACATGTTAGCAGCATGAGGGTATGGGACACAGTGGCCAAAGTAAGGTTACCATGGATACATATGGTTCTATATCATACATTATCTGACATTATTAAAAGGTACTATGAGTAAAGTAAAGTGACACTTGACTCCAAACACATTCCCACATTACCCAATCCCAGCTCTCTGGTACTTTGGCCACTGTCTCTGTCTGACACACGGGGCCAAGTCCAGCCCTGCTTGTGTAGCTCAGATCGTTGCTTTTACGGCGAGTGTGTTTGTTTTGTAAATGACCCTGGGATGGAGCCTTGCCGCTGGCCAAACATTTCCCTATCTCCTCCCCACGCTCGGCACAGGATTTGCAAAGCCGAGCCACTTCAGATAAGATGATGTCTGCAGGAAGAGTTTATGAAGATGCATAATTAGGTTTAAAATTAACTTTGCCCCCTGAGTAGGGTACTTACGAGCCGCCGTTGTAAAAAAATAAAAGTATATTTCTTAACCCTTTACTTCACCGACATTTTTTCTCTAAAACGGCTAAAAAATGTGGTAAAAATAAAAGTAAATCTGTTTGAGAAGCCCTTTGAGTTTTTGTATTTATTTCAAGCTTAAAAACAGGAGTTAATTATGGAATTTACAGCAATTACAGTCATAAAATACAAGTTATTTTTTTTTATTACATGACTTATTAAACATGATACATACAAACATTCATACATACATTTATTATTTTTACCATTTTCAAAGCTCAAAAAGGAGTGGGAAGAAGTCTAAGCTCCCTCCCCTTTGGTGCACAAACAAATGTCTCTTTGTGAAGCTGCATGAGGCTCTGTAGTTTTGGATTCTGGTGATGCTTTAACTCCTATTATGAGTGGGAACAACCTCAAGGCAGAGAAAGATCAAACTCGTAACTGTGTCTAGATCTTCTATGGTTTAAAAAAAGGATATGGGGATAGAATATATTTGACCGTTTTCCTGTTTACAGCTTCAAAACTGGAAATTAGATTCAGGGACCTGCAAAAACCTGAAATACTTAAGTACTTACTAACGATGTGGAGAGTGCAGTTCAAAGTGGTCCAGGGGCATCTCAGAATGTTTCATCTGACTGGCACAAAAACGGTTTGGTTTTCTTACTTGTTTTCACACATATTTTTGGACTTTTAAATAAAAAATAGACAATTAGTGACTCAAAAAGATTGAAAAAGATCTTGTTTTTTTTAATAAAGATAGCTTTTGTCGGATTTGTTCTCAACTTTATTATGTTTGATTAAATTATGAATCTCCTGCTTGCGCCCAGAGTCAGTGGAATCATTTCAGAATTCTTGCAGCTAAAGTCTGGAACAATCTTCTAGGAAATGTGAGACAGGCTTCTACTCTGAAAATGTTCAAATCCAGGTTAAAAACAGTTCCGCCTTAATGTACTGTTATTGTTTATGAGTTGCCCTGTGTATGAACTGTGCCATACAAATAAGCTAAACCTTGATTATAGGCAACTATTATATTTTTAATTTATATATATTTTTATAAATATTTTTTCATATTCTGACATAAAAACACATACCCCGGGAGATCTCAGCAACAAAAGAAAAAAAAAGAAAACAGGATAGGATACTCGTCTGTTATCAAGCTGATGTCTAAAAGAGACGGTATGGTAAAATAAGTATATTAGACAAAATACTGTGGGGGTTTTGATACACGATCTACGGTGTCAACTGGTGTTTCACTGGAGGGGAGATCTCAGGTGTCGGACAAAAACCAAGGCAGCTGCTAGAAAAGGCAGTCGGAAGAAACAACGTATAGTTGTAAATGTGGACAGAGGAGGTAATTAACAATAGATTTACTACGTTACTATCATATTATCTGAACTTTACATGGGTATTAGATAAAGAAAAGAGAGCTTTAAACAAGGTGCTCCGCTCTGCAAAGAGGACCGTGGGCTGTGAGCTTCCTGTTCTGGAGGTTCTTTATAAATCCAGACTTTTAAACAAAGCTCTTAGGATTGTCAATGACTCTTCTGGTCACCCTGGAAAAGCCATGTTCCAGCTTCTTCCCTCTGGCAGAAGATATCGCTCTCTGAGATGCAGGACATCTCGTTACGCTAACAGTTTTTATCCACAAGCTGTTATCAGTGTGAACAGAGCACTTTAATGATTTGCACTTGTTTTGAAACTGTTTTAGTCGATTGATTTCACAGTGACATTTGTTTACTGTTATATTTGTTTTATTTTTGTCTTTTAATGTTGTTTTATGTCTGTATTTGTCTGTGCACACTGGAAACTTTTGCTAATGTATTCCAATGTGGTTTTTTTACTGCAAATGGCAAATAAACTGAATCTGAATCTGATTTCCCTTTTACCTCCCTCCTCCCACTTTTTAAGGCAGTACTTTATATACGGTAAATGGAAATTGGTTACATTTGTTGCTGTCGTGTGTCTTGCCCAGGGACACACGGCAGCCATCACCAATGGGAGCTGGTTTTGCAACTGTGGATCCGTCGTTCAACCGATAATGTTTATGTGAACAGCAGGATTCGAACCACAAACCCCCAACATTCATCTCAAAAACCTCTTATTTTGTAGTTACTTTTAAAACCTTTGCTGATGACCACACAACATAAAGACACCAAACAAACGGCCCATACAACGCAAAGTTTTCCCAAGGTCACATACAGGTTTGAAGTGGTTAGCCATGCTTCTAAGTTCAGTAGCATACCAGCTGCTCTGATGTGATGGATTGGCTCACGGTCTGTGTGCATGAAATACTCACACAATGGTAATATTTTAGTCTGATCATACATATTATTATTGAGCTAAAATGAGCTAATAGTACTTCAATACTTGTTGTTTTTAAAAGGGAGAACTACTTTTACTCTAATATTTAAGATTATTTTGATTCTTCTGACTTCTGATTTAGAAATTGAGTTACAATGTTCTCATAATTTCTGATTTAGTTACATACAAGGCTTATCTTTAGATTTTAATATTGGAATTATTATTGTGTATCCATGTTTTATCTTTTTTATAAGTATGTGTTTTATACTGGTGATTGAGGAGCACAGGGACTGGTCTGGCAGCATTTCAGATTTATATAACTAAAATTTGAAACAGTCTTCCTTAAAATGTAAGACAGGCTTCTTCTCTGACAATGTTCAAATTCAGGTTAAAAAAACAGTCAGGTTTAGCTGTGCATACAACTGAATTAATGCATTCAGTGATTATAATGCATTGTGTGATTTTTTAATTTTGCGCACTTTGAGTTGCCTTGTGTCTGAACCGTGCTATACAATTAAACTTTTCATGTTAACCACTGACACTGCTCTAAAGCTCAAAGCGAAACGATCGTGTTTATCCAGCACCATCACTGACAGAAAATCACTTATTGACCCATGTGTAGCTTATTAATCAGCCATTACTAGTTAGTTACACATTGCTCAAACGCATAGCGCCTCTAGTTTATCCTTTATCCGTTTTGTCCATCGATTTCACAGTGACAATTCTTTCCTGCACTTTTGTTAGTTTTAATTCTGTACTTTTAACCTTGTTTTTTTGCGTATGTACTTGTCTTGCGCACACTTGTGACTTTTTGCGAATGTGTTCCAATGGGGTTTTACTGCAAATGGCGAGCAAACTGAATCTGAAGCAGCAGCAGCAGCTTCTCAGTAACAGGTGCGAGGCATTGAAAGCAAGTATGGTCCCTTGTTAACAACTCGGAATGAAACTTCTCTTCTGCTGCCACTCGTACGGGTCGCCTCACACACATGCTGCAGTATTATGTCCATTGTCCAAAGACGCGCGCCGATTGGACGGATGACGCATGACGCACGGAGCCCCGCACTTCTCTCCGGCCAAAAAGTCTTCCCTTCAGTTCAGTGCGCGCTTCTCTCCGGAGGAAAAAAGAAAAAAACGCCTCTCAAACTGAACCCACAAGACTATTAAGATACATGAAAGGCGAGGGATAAAGGATAACGTCACCTTTTGGGGGCAACGACAACAAAAACTGGAGCTCTTTTTTGATGTGACAACGCTTTTGGAGACTTAAAAAAGTAAACGCTGGTTCCTAACGCGAAGTCCAAGTCCCCGGTTTCATCTCCAAAGTTCCCGCAAGATGATCTTCGGTCCGGTGGTCGGGAAACTGCTCGTAAGTGAAGTTTCAATCACTTAAAATCATTTAAAGTAACTTGTTTTGTCGTGTTGAATGTTTTACCCGCGTCTGCCTTGTGCCAAATTGTTGACAGTAAGTGGATTTCTTTGGACATGTGCGCTGTTTTGTTTCGCTTTTATGATCACGCAAGCTTTATCAATATAGAAAGCTGGAGTATTTGTTCTTTTACTTTAGATTAATCGGCTTTACGTGGTCATATTCGTGTATCCGTTCTATTTTGGGGACGCTCAAATCACTGCACGTCCTTTGCAACTGAAGATGAAACAGCAGCCCATTGTCCCCACGACCTGGGACACAGGAAGCGACATCGTGTTTGTTTTTTTGGATGAGGGAATAACTTGTGTTTATGCTTCACTGCAGCAAAGATCCCAGACTTATAGTGAGATGGAGCAGCTGGCTCTTAAACAGTGCGCTCTGTGCTGTGCTGTGCTGTCCTGAGAAAAGTATTCGAGCTTGCATATGTTGTATCATTCACTCAAACTTCACTTCTACCATCTGCGTTGGACATCATGTGGTCACACTGCTCAGACATTGTGCACACACACAAAAAAACTATGGCTTTTGTGCGACACAGCGGATGTAAGGGAAGGACAAAATGGGCTTTAGTATTTAAACATTAAACCAATTACTTGCACAATTTCCCCCCAATATCCGGATGTTCTGGGAATGGTCACATTCTAAAAGCATTCAACATGAGTTTGACCCCTGCTTAAAGCTTAATGCCACCTTGTACTTATACCAGGCAAAGCTGCAAATTCCCTAACAGCCCCCCCCCCCCCTTCCAATAAAGTTAATTCCATACTCAGACTTCTTTTCATTCAGCAGTGACTGTTGTTTTTTCCAACCGAGCTGCATTCAATCCTGACACTGTGCCTGCATGTGTATGACAACGTGCATGCAGCCAGGAAAATTAGTGAAAAAACAGTTCCAGAATAAATAAAAATGCCTGTTTTTCTAGTTCAGGAGGCTTCATCTTGTCTTCTTTAGTAGGAATACAAGTATTTGGGTCTTCTATACCAGTGAGTTATTGTTGCTATTACTTTGACACCTTCGAAACAAGGTAGTAACATCACTAACTTACTGTTGTCAGGGATAGATTGGTTGTTAGATAGATTTTTTATTCATTTTAGCAGAAATCATACATTTAGTAAGTAGGTAAATGTTTATTTCAAACTTATTTTTATCATACAGCAGAACAAAACAAACAAGATACAGACTTTAATTTGAAAAATTCAGTTTGAAACGGGGTTGGACGAAGCAAAAGCGTATTGGACTCCAACCCACATTCAGAAGTATTAACAATATTTACATTCCTTAGATTATGAAGAACTTTTGCATATTTTTATCTGCGCTTACAGTACACATACAAATACAATCAAGCAACAGTATTTGCCATAGTTTCACAATGTGTAGTATATTTATACACGGTTTGTCAGCTCAAAATGAAGTGGGAAAGAAGTAAAAAAACGATATAGAAGAACTTTTATTGCCTAGTTTTCTTCAGCAAACCAAAATACAGATTCATAGTTGATTTGATTTGCAGGCTTCTGATTGTATCTATCATAAGCCTCATTTTCCACAGCGAGAATAGCTGTTTTGACCCGTCTTCGCCTTCGTCTCCTGATGCGCCTGGAGCTTTCCTGTTTGTGTTTTGCCTTTGTGCGACATGCTTTTTAACTCATGCAGTGTTCCGTTACTGAAATCAGATTTGTTTCGTCGGGTGGCAAAGTCAATGTTTATCTCTTCTGCAAACTGCATTCTGGGGCCCGCACCAAGCACAGACCCTGTTGCTATTTGGCAGCGAGGAAGCTTGTCCCCCACCAAACTCTCACCCTCTCCCTCCCCCCCTTCTCTCGCATACACCCCCTGAAATTGCTGGAGCGTACGTGCCTGGCGGTCCTGTAAACTTCCTGTGGAGTGTACACAGATATGCTGATATTAGAGGCATCAGGCTGCCTCTCTCAGATTTATCATGGCTGCACAAATGTACACTAGATTGCGATCTGCTTTTGCTTACTGTATGTTTGGGTGTTGGTTCACACAGGAAATATCCCGCTCGGTCCCTCTGGACGAGGCTGGGGCAGGACGCACATTGGGGACAGGCTCGGATCCTAAGTATGTCACTGGGGAGAGAGTGGTGGTCCAGTAAACGGACTCTCATGACAGTCGCGCTGCTTGTACTCCGCACAGAGACATGAACTTTGGGACCCTGTCTGTGGCATCTGTCTGATGCAACTCGGTGCAATAGGGACGACAGCAGGTTGTCAGGAGCTGTGATACTCTGGACCAGACAACTGCACTTCAGTCAGCAAACTTTCTAAAGTGGCGGACATTGAGGATTAGCCCTGGTGAAAGTGTTGTCTATGTGTCCATGTCCATGTCCTTGTCCTTGTCCATGGGTTAGGGTTGTCCATGTCTATGTCTATTTCCATATCCATGTCTAAGTCAAGTCTAAGTCCATGTCCATGTCCATGTCCATGTCTAAGTCAAGTCTAAGTCCATGTCCATGTCCATGTCCATGTCTATTCTCTTTCCATAATCCATTTCTGGGTGGGGTGGCAGTCAGAGATGCACCCAATTCACAAACTACCAGCCCCTGTGTGTGTGTAACATGTCCTCATGAAAAATACTTGTCACATCACTAGAATCCATGTAATTGTACTCAGAATCAGAATCCTTTTTATTGCCATTGTAACTGACAGGAAGTCACAAACTAGGAATTTGCTTTGGCTCTCGGTGCAAACAAGTTATAAACATAAAAATGGTAATGACTGCTGTATACAAGTGCACTAAGTACACACAATTACCAAGTGAAATAAGTACATGTAAGCTTCTATTGTGGAATTAATCAAATGAATTCGAAATCAAAATGCGTCTAATATCTAGGGCCAAAACAATGATTAAAAGTTAATATGTATTTGTTCTATCATCGTCAATCTTTTAAGCTATTTCAGTTTCAATGCATTATTGCAGAGCCCTAAATCACAACAGCAGTCGTCTCGGAGGACTTTATGAAGTTGTTGATTCAACAACAACAGATCACAAACAACAGTTCGAAAACATAGGAAATGTAATGATAACAAACACATAGGAACCATTGGTTCATAGGGCAGGATAATGTCCATACATTTTAATAAATGTCCCGGATCATCACTGTCCTTGGACCCTCCTGCATCGGAAAAGACCCAGGGAGGGACAAAGTGAGAAACCTTGCTCTCAAGGAACGGACAGGCTATAGTTCCGGGACATAAGCTATGATCATTTATCAATTGCTTTGTATACAGAGTACAGACGTGTTATTTTATTGAATTAAACCAGTGCTGTGATCCCGTATGCAGGCCTTATAATAGGTATAACCTTATAACAAGAATACTCTCATTGCAGCTACTATTACGCCTGTTGTGTCTCCCTGATTTTCAACATCCCATGTGTCTTGACGTGTGCTGTGGATCTTGCGTTTTCTTTGAATTATTTTACAAAAATATGCAATCTGTAATCATGAGGTGTTTTAAATAACAAATGCAATGCCCAGTACAATGATACGACAAAGCCAACATTATAATCTACATTGAAAACGTTGACAAAAGTCTTCAGCAAAACTCATTTCTGTGGAAAATTACCGTGACACGAGGCAATAAGAGGCAACGACCAAAAGAATACATAAAGGAGACCACTTTCACAAACCAGCGAGATCATAAAGTCACTCTTTATATCACGTTAATCCAGACCTCATGGATCTGAATGCTGCTCGGCCGTGAGGAGCTGTGTCTATTGATAAAACAGCTTGTCTAAACAACATATGATAACCTCAAGCCAAAGTTATTCATAGATGATTGTTCAATTATAAAACTACGGGTTACATGCTGCCCTTCACAATCATTTATGTATCATGGAAAATACTACTCCCTTTTTTTTGTATGTTTTTTATGACGACTTTTCTATACACTTACAGATATTACAGCACTAATAAAAACTGACCATTTAGAGTCACAAGTATTAGTTAAAGGTATATAGGAGGATTTTCCCACATTTTAAGAAAGAACCGCCCTCTCCACTTTTTGAACAAAACTTATTTCACAAGCACGTATCACCAGAATGATTGACAATTTAGAGGACCAATAGTCTTGGTGATCCACTCGGAAGTAGAAAATCCTCCTATATACCTTTAAGTAATTGTTGACAATCAGAACCAGTATTCTATTCTCTGGTGATGATTCAGGACATTTAAAAACACATGAATATATAATAAAGTTTATGGACATTGGTTATCCGCCCCTAATGGCTCTTATTTGCTTGTTATTATCGCATTTCCTGTGTTTGAACCGTTTAATTCTCTGATCTGTTGTTGAGGAATCTACAACTTCTCCGAGATGACTGCTGTTGTGATTGAATTGAATGGAATTTGCGTTGCCATTGTAATGAACAGGACTTCTCAAACTAGAAAGTCATATAAAAATAAAACATCGTAATCCAATTCTCATACATACAAGATTCAAGAATGTATTTGTAGTAAAACCAAATTGGAAAAACTTTGCTAGACATGAGCCAACACGATTATTTGTTAATTTGTTATCATTTAGCAGCGCTGCACTTAACATAACACTCTTAGACTCTTCTTTGACTTTGACTAATGCAAATCCAATATCAAATTGACGCATCAAATTGACATATTCTCTGCTGACAGTTCTTAGTAGGGAGCCACTGATCCAGCTTTTCGTTATTTAATCAATTTTGAATTATTTTTTCAAAAACAGAAGAAACAAACACAGGTCCAGGATACAAAGAACATCAAATAAAACACACAATCTGCACTACTAAACGTTAAGAGTTGTGTTGCTTTTTGTGTTGCTCCAGGTGATGATGGTTCTCTGTTTTGCACCGTGCGAGTCGTTGACAGCTCCAAATAAAGAATAAATAAAGCTCACAACACACACACCTTCAGGGCGCTCCGCTTCGCCCTGTCGATACTTATTTTC